TAAAGCACATTTGGACAAGCCAGCTTCAGTTTGGAATAAGGTGCTGTGGACTGATGGAACTAAAATTGAGTTATTTGGACATAACAAGGGGCGGTATGCATGGTGGAAGAAGAACACAGCATTCCAAGACAAACACCTGCTACCCACAGTTAAATTTGGTGGTGGTTCCATCATGCTGTGGGGCTGTGGGGCCAGTGCAGGTACTGGCAATCTTGTTAAAGTTAAAGGTCGCATGGATTCCAGTCAGTATCAGCAAACTCTTGCTAACAATGTTCAAGAATCAGTGACAAAGTTGAAGTTGCGCCGGGGCTGGATACTTCAACAAGACAACGACCCTAAACACCGCTCAAATTCTACCAAACCATTCATGCAGAGGAACAAGTACAACGTTCTGGAATAGCCATCTCAGTCCCCAGACCTGAATATCATTGAAAATCTGTAGTCTGTTTTAAAGTGGGCTGTCCATGCTCGGAAACCATCAAACCTGACTGAACTGGAGATGTTTTGTAAAGAAGAATGGTCAAAAATACCTTCAACCAGAATCCAGACCCTCATTGGAAGCTATAGGAAGCGTTTAGAGGCTGTTATTTCTCCAAAAGGAGGATCTACGAAAATATTGATGTAATTTTTCTGTTGGGGTGCCCACATTTATGCACCTGCCTACTTTTGTTTAAGTAATTATTGCAAACTTTCTGTAAATCCTATAAACTTAATTTCACTTCTTAAATATCACTGTGTTTGTTTGCTATATGATATATTTAATTGAAATTGCTGTTCTGAACAACACCTTCCAGTGGACTCACCACCCGCAGAAAGGTTTAGGGGGGTTGGTACGGTACAATGTGATTTGGGTGGTGACTGCTGCCCCCGCGACCCGGTAACGGATAAGTGGATGAAAATGGATGGATGGATGGGTTCTGAACAACCAATGATCCATAAAGGAAAATCTTGAAAATGATCAGGGGTGCCCAAACTTTTACTTTTACCACTGCACTTCTCTGCCACTCCTGACTTCCACAATTCCTCCCTTGGCACTTTGTAATATGCCTTTTCTTTCTCTATAAATACACAATGTAGCTCCTTCTGACCTTCTCTGTACTTCTCCATCAGCATCCTCAAGGCAAATATTGCATCTGTGGTACTCTTCCTAGGCATGAAACCGTACTGTAGTTCACAAATCTCCACTTTCTGCCTCAACCTGACTTCAATAGCCAGAAAGCCAAAAGCCCCAATAAGAACTGACCTGGTGAATTGAGCCATTACACAAATGTCTGTTAACATTGTGATGTTCCTCTTCTTAGGGCTAAGACTAAAGCGGGGCAATATTTTGTGGTAATTGACAATATTTTGGCAGCGATGTACCTGTATCTAGTCTGCAGTAAATATACAAAAATAGAACTTAAATCTGTCTTATTGTAATTTATGTGCATACAAATGTATTTACAAATCATACAATACAATCAGTGGGTGACATAATATATAGTGTAAAATGTATAAGTTACATGGATCAGTGTAAAACCCCCTTTCACATTCATCCAAAACAGGCATGAAAATAAAAAACAAAAACCCTCTTCTAAATGTTAGTATTCTGGGAGCTGTAGCACCAGAGATCACATGAAACAGACTGTATGAAAGGATTTCTTTGTATATAAACACTTGTATATAAACTGTGATCAGTTTTGGGTCATGACAAGGAACAGCTCACAGATTGACGTTGCTTTTCTGTTCAAGTCCTTTGGTCTTATTTAACTTTTTTTTTGTTGCGGACAAGAAATCCTGCCTACACAGTGGGCATTTTCACTTTTTACTCAGCCACTGATTAAGAGAACATCTGTGGCAATGTGGAAGAAAACTGATAACAGCACTTTGCACGCCATACACTTTTAACACTTGTATATATGTAGGTGTATGTTGGACAAGCCAATTTGGAAGAAACAATCATACATATACAGGAATAATTCTCAGTCCATGTATGAAGTGTCCACACCCTCGCTATCCGGGTGGAGGAGTCTTCCTGCTAAACGCTCGATGTCATCAAGACTAAGTTGCCGAAGTGAGCGCTCATAGTCCTTCAAAGAAAACAGAGGGGAAAAAAAGTTGTTGAAACTGTACTTACAGCCACTTTCACCATAATATACAGGAGATAATATGAAGGCCCATTATGAAGATTTTTTTTTATTTAGACAAAGTCATTAATTACATGAAAAAAATTCTAATTCCAAATTAATTTAGATCAAAGATGGATCATTGATTTTTAGATAACATGACAGAGAGAGGAAAGAGAGAGACAAAGAAAAAGAGAGAGAGACAAAGGGAGGGGTGTGGGGGGGGGGAGCAGCAACGGAGCCAATACTAAAAAGCTAACTCTAACAAAATCTATCAAATTATCTGGGATGCATATAGTAAAAAGAGGCACATATTCAGATTTGAACAGTTTATACTTTATATATAATGTTAGTGAATACCTTTATAAGCTGCTCATGAACCTTAGCTGCATCTGCTGGAGTAAAGTGTCTAGCAAGTATTGTTGACAAAATCTGCCAGACACCTCCCTGTGCAGTGCTGCTGCTGGGGCTGGTAGCCAAACCTGAGGTTCCACTTCCCCCTGCTGGACGGATCACCAGATTTAACTTGGACTCTGGCCCAATGGAGTAATCACTTAGGCTGTGCTCATCTAGGGAAGACAATATATAATGCAAACATCAAAAATTAAGATAAACATTATTAAGTAATGAATAAGTCATATTTTATTTAAGTATAAATAATTAAAACCTTTAATGGCACACCTACCTGCAAGAGCTTTTCCCTTAAAGAGCAACCGCTGTTGGTTTGCTGGGATGTTTAGACGTTCAGACACAAGCTCCTTTACTCTGGCAACCTTTTCATCTTCAGTCACCTACAAAAAACAGCAACCGTATAAAGATAATTGTAAGAAGAAAAAACAAAACATACATACACAAGAGACAACAAACATATTTAAGACACCTATTTTCTCTATACATACCTTAAATATATATACACAAATATTATACATATATTAGGAGTACTGATTTCAACACAGGCTTGTGAACTACCCCATTAATCGCCACATCCGTATAGTATATTCTCAGTATATTTGTGATCTATTATATATTATATTTTTGAATGCTCTTCTTAACAAGCTGCTGTAGTTTTAGTTGACTCTATGTATTGTTTTCTTTCAACGTTGTGTTTTTCAGTTCAGCAGTGTTTTGCGCAAATAGTTGTTCATAATTGATAGCCTGGTTTAAAGTACGTGACTGAATATATTTGGTATAGGGTTGAACCACTCCTTGCTATTGTACACAGAAGACTTTAGGCATGATGGCGTTAGTAACATACACCACAACTACTCTTTATTTTACACTCAAATCTAGTTAGTTAGTTAGTGAATCTAGTTAGTTTAAATTTTTCTTTTCTTCAAGTCATCTTTGATGCTAAGGCTAGCCGGCTAGTCGCAGTATTATCAAATCGCAAAAATGACTACATATCGACGCCTTTGGAAGAAAACACTACCTCTATTGATAATATATCTGTTGATGATAATAACAGAAACAAATGTTACAAAAGCAGCAAATATTAATCAGCTATACTCTTAGCATCGTTGGCTAAACATGTTAGCACCAAAGCTAAATCCACGACCCTTAAACAGTAGCGCCTGAAGCTAACATGTAGCATTTGGCTTCTCATACCTGTACATTACACTCCTTCCCCTGGAGCGGTTTGACCGTTATGATCATTTCTATAAAGTACACTAAAATAGGACAAATAAAATCCAAGGAATTGAATGTAAACGCTACGTCAATATAGCCAGGTATGTATTGAGATTAGTGATGTGTCGTTCGCGAGTGACTCGTTCAAAATGAACGAATCCTTCATATGACTCGTGACTCCCGAATCATATAAGAGATTCTTGACTTGTGACCCCCGAGTCATATGAAAGATTTGTTCATATTGAACTCACGAATCACTCACAAATCACACTCTGCGAACTAATCACTCACTGCGAATTGATCTTTCACTGCGAACTAATCTTTCACTGCGAACTAATCTTTCATTGCAAACGAATCTTTCACTGTGAACTAATGTTTCACTATGAACGAATCACTCTCTGTGACCTAATCTTTCGCCGTAAACTAATCTTTCGTTATAAACGAATCACTCCCTGTGAACTAATGTTTCGCTGTGAACTAGTCTTTCACCACGAACAAATCACTCTATGTGAACTAGTGATGTGTCGTTCGCGAGTGATTCGTTCAATATGAACTAATCTTTCACATGACTCGTGACTCCCGAGTCATGTGAAAGATTCATGACTCATGAAAGATTTGTTCATATTGAACTCAGGAATCACTCTTTTTGTTTGTTTGTTTGTTTGCTTGCTTTGGTGATGGACAGATTGACAGATGAGGTTAGACAGCAGTCCCCATGGACTATAATGTTTGCAGATGACATTGTGATCTGTAGTGAGAGTAGACAGCAGCTGGAAGAGAACCTAGAGAGGTGTAGGTTTGCACTAGAAAGAAGAGCAATGAAGGTCAGTCGTAGCAAGACAGAGCAGAACAGTAATTGAACAGAAATTGACATACAGCCATGGTGTATGGTTTAGAGACACTAGCAATAGGCAGAAGACGGGAGGCGGAGCTGGAGGTGGCAGAGTTAAAGATGCTAAGATTCTCTTTAGGAGTGACAGGAATGGGCAGGATCAGGAATGAGGTCATTAGAGGGACAACACAGACAGGGAGGTTTGGAGAAAAAGCTAGAGAATCCAGATTGAGATGGTTTGGACATGTGCAGAGGAGGGACTGTGGATACATTGGTAGAAGAATGTTAGAGAGACAAAGAGGAAGGCCGAAGAGGAGATATATGGATGCAGTGAGGGAGGACATGCAGATAGTTGGAGTCAGAGTAGAAGATGCAGAGAACAGGGCAATATGGAAATCAATGATTCGCTGTGGCAACCCCTGAAAAAAGGTACAAAGCTGAAAAAAAAGAACTTGCGAATCACTTTCTGCGAACTAATCACTCTCTGCGAACTAATCTTTCACTGCTAACTAATCACTCATTGCAAACGAATCACTCACTGCGAACTAATCTTTCACTACGAACGGATTACTCTCTGTAAATTAATCTTTCACTGCGAACTAATCTTTCACTATGAACTAATTACTCTGCAAACAAATCTTTTACTGTGAACTAATCACTCACTGCGAACTAATCACTCTCTGCGAACTTATCTTTCACTACGAACGAATTACTCTCTGCAAATTAATCTTTCAATGTGAACTAATATTTTACTACAAACTAATCTTTTACTGTGAACTAATCTTTCATTGCAAACGTGTCATTGACTCGTGACTCCCGAGTCATATGAAAGATTTGTTCATATTGAACTCACGAATAACTCACTGCGAACTAATCTTTCACTGTGAACTAATCTTTTGCTGTGAACTAATATTTCACTACGAACTAATTACTCTGCAAACTAATCTTTCATTGCAAACGAATCACTCTCTGTAAGTTAATCTTTCACTGTGAATGCAATGAAAGATTAGTTCACAGTGTGAACTAAACTTTCGCTGTGAATTAATCTTTCGCTGTGAACAAATAGCTATGAACGAATCACTCTGTGAACTAATCTTTCGCTTCGTCCTCGCAGATTCGTTTCATTTGTCACGTGACAGAGAGTTCGGATCTTTTGCTCTCATTCATCTTGGTTTTACGTGGTTTTAATTGCTTATGCCATTTTGTGTACTTTGTAGACTTCGTCAGCGGAAGCAAACCATGTTGCATGAATGAGAGCAAAAGAGACAAGGGCTCTCTGTCGCGTGACAAATGAAACGAATCTGCGAGAACGAAGCGAAAGATTAGTTCACAGAGTGATTCGTTCATAGTGAAAGATTAGTTCACAGCGAAAGATTAGTTCACAGAGAGTGATTCGTTTGCAATGAAAGATTAGTTCACAGTAAAAGATTAGTTCAGAGTAAAAGATTAGTTCGCAGAGTGTAATTAGTTCGCAGTGAGTGATTTGTGAGTGATTCGTGAGTTCAATATGAACAAATCCTTCATGAATGGATATTGTGTATTGGCTGGCCAACATGGGTTATTCTATTTCTAGATAATTATTAATATTATTAAGTCCAAAAACACAAACTAAGGGACTACGTGTAAAAAAAAGCATAGTCACATTTCAAGCTGAATGGCTTTTATAAAAAAATATTTTAAGAATTTATACTGCTTTGAAAACTTAAAAACACGGCATAAGCATGGCACTATCCCCACACACTGCTCACCTTGGTGATGGGTTAAAAGGAGGGGCTCAATTCCGTTGTATCCCCGTGTTACAATGACAATAAAGACTATATATATGTAACAGAGGTTAATAGTTATGTAGTTATAATTCCACAAAATTGTTTTATTTGTTCTATCTGACGGAAGTTGGGTTGATCCTCCCTGGGCGGAAACTTGACGTATATATTTTTTATATAAAAAGTCAGTCAAACCCAACCTCTCCCTCTTTCTTCGGACTTTGTGGGAGAGGGGCTCGGGTGGTGTCCTGGAGGAAAATTAATTTTGTTCTATGTGAATTCCGTCAGCAGCACGACGGCTTTCATTAAACACAACGCAGAGGCTACACTGGTTACACACACACACACACACAGAGTATATATAATAGATTTAAACTTAAGACAATAAATAATAATCATTACATTCCCGTATCAAAACTCAATATTATCATTAGCATTATTTCAGTCAAATTAAGTCAGGTAACATATTCTTATTGTAATGTATAATGTAATGGCAATAGTAGTAATAATATTACACTGAGTACGGTATTTCTTTGTATACCACAGTTTCTAAAAGCTTTGCATTTACAAGCATGTAGATTTAATAAAATACGAATTTCTCTGAAAAGTAGGTCAAAGAAGGAGCCACAGTTTGTTGTATGACGACGTCACACAGCCATGAACTCTTTCACATGCTGTACAAGCACAAGGCTGTAAAATGAGTAATTTTCAAAAAGTTTGTCAGAGAGCCACCTAAACTCCCCAGAGTTCCTTTGAAATCCTCCGAAGACTCTCTGACCCAGTTGGGATCAGATCAGACTCATAGCCTGAATGTGTTTCTCATTTCTCATTACACCCTCTTCTCTGGGTCACATGACTGCTGTGCTTGCTCTCAGTCTGCACTCTGAGCATCCTTCACTGGAGCAGAGATAGAACTGAAAGATCTGCACCTGACTGTTGGGTCTGCTCTCTGATCCTCCAAGCAGCAACAGAACCTCTGGAGGACAAGTCTTCACGGAGACTTCACAACCACTTCACGCTCCCTTGTATGTGGTAAGTCCTCTTTCTGATACAAGACAATGTTATTGTTTTTTGTTTTTTGCACAGCTTTCTAATAGTTCTTAAACACAGGTGTGTGATATGTCAGATATAGTATTATGATTGTAGACGTAAACCTACCTTGAACATGAACAACTAAGTGTGTGATCTCTGTTTAATTAATGTGTTATATATTCAAAGATACTATTAGATTTACAGCAATAAGTAAAAAAAAATCAAAGTACAACTCGTTCTATTTGTTTAGACATTTCTTTTCTGATTCATGACGCCAACTTCTCTTCTTAAGAACTTGCATACATTTCATGTAACAACAGTCAGAATTTCTCAATATATATATTTCTGTTTCAACAAACATAAGCGTGTATACCAAAAAATGACTAGTGACTCCAAAATGCAACTCTAGTTGCCATAGTATTTATTTCTGTCCTTGGTTTTTTCAAAACAATGTCAAATGTCCTTGATTTCCTTTTTACATGTGAAGAAGTGAAAGTACAGTACTTAGATAAAGGGACTATATATCTATCTATTTATCCATCTATGAATCATACTTACTCTGTTTGCATACTAATGAATGAATCCCTTTCTTATTGAATATCTCATATATTATTGATGACAATAATACAAATATAATCAGGGACAGTGATTCACATTAAATAGAGAAGCACAGTAAAACAGTAAAAAATGACTTGAAAATAATCAATGGGTCAGAGCGGATCATTATCTCCTGCGTGTTTTGTGTTTTTGTGGCTCCATATGTGCAGGTGATGGGTACTCTACGGGATCTCCAATTTGCCCTGCAACTCAAAATTGAGGAGCTTCGCCAGAGGGACACTCTAATAGATGAGCTGGAGCTGGAGCTGGATGCAAAGGATGAGTTGATACGTAGACTTCAGGATGAACTGGATCGCTACAGAGCCAATGTCTTCCTCCCAGGAGCCTCTATCAATGCAGGTAGTGCAGGTAAATATGGCTCTTCAACGTCAATTTTTAAGTATATGTGGTCAACACTGACCGTGAACCTGGGGTTTTTCTTTTTGCTCAGCTCAGTGTGAGAACAAGGAAAGAAGCCAGAAGAGGACGATCATTACAGAGCCCTGGAGTCTGGACCCATTGATCAACTCTGTGATTTCACAGAAAAGCTGTGAGAAAAGTGAAATGTAAGAGTGCAGGTGGTGTTCCTTTCAAGTTCAACCTGCTCCTACTGAAAACTCTGCCATCACTGACCCACACTTCTGAACACATTTCAAAATAAATAGACACTACACGTAGCGTAGATGCGAAGGCTCAGAGATCTACAGTAATAATGCCTTCAAATGTCACAACAGTTTCATCTACCTCCCATCCCTCAGGTCTCTGCGACGGATTCAGGCTGCGATTTTGAAGAATGACTTGTTGAAGAACCTTGACGAAGGTGAAATCCGGGCCATCATGGGCTGCATGTATCCCACCATCATCAATCAAGGCGGCTCTGTCATTGAGGAGGGGACCAGCGGGGACCAGGCTTTTGTGGTTGAAGGTGAATCATTTCCTTCGAACAGCTGCTAACATTAATCAAAGGTGAAGCAAATTGAACACTTGTGAGGATATCATTTTTATTTTGCTGAAGAATGCTAGATCAAATGTTTGATCATTGCAATTTTCTAACTGTTGTTTTGGGCTTTAGGATTTAATCACACTCTGGTTGTTATGCACAGTGATGTGACAAGTGCATTTGTGAGTAAGTGAAGACAAAGCACTTTTAGGAATAAGTAGTGACTTACTGTTTGTGTATATTTTGTGATAAAATGTCAAGTGATGTCATGGATGCTTGCATAATGTGTTCTGCGCAGTACATCTCAGGACAGTTCCTGACAGCTCCCTCCTCGACACAATAAATAAGAACAGCCACAGTTGTACGTGTCGAATGCTTGCTGTGTTTCCTCACTGACTGTGTGTTTGTCCACAGAAGGGAGGCTGGAGGTGACAAAAGAAGGCGTCAGGCTTCTCACAGTGGAGCCTGAGGACATGTTTGGAGAGTTGTCCCTTCTCTACAACTGCACCCACACCTACTCTGTCTCAGGTATAGGAATGAGTCAAACTTTACGGTTCCTTGCTAAATTTGTAAAAATGTGCATAGAAATACAAGGAAAGTGGTTTACACAGCACAAGAAAGCATGGCATATGAAATATTTATTATAAAAACAAAGAGACGAATGGAACATTTAACCACGTTAGTCCAAGTCAGAGTGGGAAACATTTGCATTTCTAAACATTTACTGACTTAAATATACGAATGGGTTTGATTTTAGTTGTTAGTCAGTTTTGGTGAGTAAAAACATAGAACTGTCTGTTCTATGTTTATATAAAGATAATAATGTGGTGCACAGGTCTGCACCAACTTTGGACATGTGTTTTGACCTTTTCTTTATTTATTATTTGATGTATTTTCTTTTGTACTAGACATCAAACAATGATGTAGCCTTCAGTTGAAATAGTGGTAGCAGTGACCTTCAACTTATTTGAGTTTGAGACCTCTAGTGTGGAAATACCTGTCTGTACAGCATAAATACAGAGATCAGCGAAAGCCTTAATATAATATCCAGAGAACAAGGTTAATTTGCATTATCAAAAGTCAATCAATCAAAGTTGTTTGTATGAATGTTAAACTCCAACTCCACTTTAGAGCAAACAACTTTAGAGCTTCACTGGTCTGTCCCAGTGAAGCAGTACTGAAGTTGACTGATTTAAAAACCATGTTCCTTCCTCGTGTTAACACTTCTTGCTTCATTCTGTTATGTTATGATCATTTCTCTCCATGAGATCTAATCAAGCTGTAGAATCTCATCTGTAGAATCTCATCTGTAGAATCTCATCAGAACCTGCCGTCTGCTCTTATATGAGCTTTACAACCTTAGCCCCTCCATTAGCATGTTTTTGACTGCACACATATTAAATGTCCTCAAATGGCTAACCCCCAGAGCAATATAAAAAAATACAAAAATGATGACCACTGCGATGAACAATATTTGGTTGCAGATTAGGAGGAATGCCTTCTGTCCTCAACTTCGAGGGGAGGATGGATAGATGGATGGTTGGTGTAGACATTAATGATAGAGGGATTAAAAGATTCACAGCTTTGCACTTTCCAAGTACATTTAATTGATACGAAAGTACTTATGCTTCACTCCTACTTCTATCAATTATATGATTAATGATTAATTATTTTTAGAGAGCCCCAGAAGCAGCATCTCCACTGCCGTGGTCTTCCTTGGCCATGTGACAATTTGTGATGGATTTTTTTTTTTGAAAGCTAAGAAAACACCACAGCTCAAAATGTCCTCCTTACAGCACCCTATTACATTCCAACCGAAGTTTGAAATACCTTTAAAAAAACTCACCAGGTACAATTTGCATTCGCATTCCCAATTCCTCACATATTTAAGTGATTTCCTCTGAAAGAGAAAGTGTGCTACCATTTCCTTTCAGTGTCTGATCACAGAGTCCCGTGGGGAAACATCCTCAAACATTTACACTTCCATCTGACCCGGTTTTATAAATAAAAAGGCTGTGGAAACAAAGATAGTTTGAATTGAAAGCTATGTTAATTGACCTTGTCTGGTCTCTAGACACTTATTCCCTAATTTTCCATTCTTTGTCTTGTGACCCAATCATCTAGGGGGGAAAATCTCTTTTCTCACAGTGCACTGAGTGTTTTCTCTGTAATCCTCTCTGTGTGGTATTGTTCAGGGAGGACTTTGTTTATCTCCACTCTGACCTGAAATTATGTTTTCTTCCATTGTTGTCATCTGAGAGCAGTGGAAAGGCCTTTGATCTGTGTGTGGCCTCTTCTATTTGGACAGTGATAAAGGTGCAGGTGAAAGCAAAGTATCTTCAAGGACACACTCGAGAAACTGTCAAAAAAAATCTTCATCTGAGACCAGAATTTTAATCTGCAAAAGCACCAACCATAAAATGTGTGTCATCTGGTGCTGGAGTAAAAAGCATTGGGGTACATTTTAAATAGGAGGAAGTGAGATATGGAGGCTGTGGCATATTATCAGATCTAATTAAACTGTCTGGAGGACATTTACTTCCCTCTGCAGGAAGCTTCAGAGAACCAATCAATGTGAGTCATAATTAATTTATAACAAGTCTTTCAAGATCTATTGTGAAGAATTGAGCTGACCGTGGCAACTAAACCAGACTTATTCCTTTTCTTTTTTTCAAAATTTCTTTCTGCTTGAACTTGTTTATATGTTAGCTGCTAAAATGTCACTCAGTGTTCATAAAGACTTGGATCTTTCCTATGTAGTTAGAGCACATGACTACAAAACAAGACTCAAGGCTAACATTGGCTTGTTAATGTGTACCTAATGACACACCATTAATTAACAGTTCCCATCACTGTTCCTCACAAAGAGCATCTAAAAACATCACACTGTCTCCAGACAGTGAAGATAAACAACCTGAAGCACAAAGCTACTCCAACGCTTAGTATGAATGGTGTTAGTTAGATTACACCATAGCAGAATTCCCAGGTATTTTATACAGAACTGATGTACATTTTTGAAAAGTTAAACTGTCCTAAAATATTTCATTTTGAATCTTTTTCCCACAGCCTGGGTACATCAAGAATACAGCAGACGGTTGTCAGAAGAAAACTATTTTCTCTAGGGTTTTCGAGGCCTTCTCTGAAGCATTTCTGACAGGTTTCCTTCTTGCCTGTAGTGTATATCATTAAAAACTTAAAATGCATTAAAAATTCGTCTTACGTTCTTCCCAGATGACATGATGTCTTTCAAATTTAGCTGTTCATTATTTCTGGAGATACTTTGATCCCACACTGAGAATTGTTGTGTTAACAGCAGATCTGTTGCAACAGGCTGCCGAACAGGAGGCACCAAGTATGTGGTTCCTCTGGTCCTTCTCTGTGTAAGGCTGATGTGTCAGCAGGTGTGATAACCGCTACTAATAGGGGAATCTTAGGCTCTATAGGAGCCTGAATGTCATCCCTGGGTGGGCTCGGACCAGTTTCCGTCTCAGTTTACAGACAAACGCTCTTTTAACTGATTGCGCCACAGAGACATAATATTTTTAAAGGAAAACTATTTTAAAGGAAATACACGTTTTTCCAGTCATTAAAGAGAGAAAGAGAGAAACAAAAATCTGTCCTATGACGCAGATGTGTTGATGTTTTTCCACTATCACATACTGCACGTGTCACCTAAGGCTGTGTCCTGTCTTTTGATTTGGCCTCCACCTGAGCTCCAGTGTCAATAACATTTTCTTTATCAACTCCTCTCTCTCTTCCTTATCTCTTCTTTGTCATCTGCAGCCCAAATGGACACCAAGCTCTGGATTATTGACTACAAGAGTTACTGGACCGTACTCATGCAGAGTGGTCTCAGCCGCCTTCATCGTTCGATGGAACTACTGAGCAGGTGAACGCCAGTCTAATATCTCCATTAGAGTTGCTCAGTATTCCACTGCTCTCCTCCTCCCAGAGCTGCATTGTTTGCAAACAATCACAATTTAAAAAACTAGGGATTTGATATCAACATTCATGTTTTCTGATATTCTTGGACGCGTAGAGGAAGTGATGGAGGATCTTATCTGTGTGTGTTTTCCCCTGTGCCCTCAGCGTTCCTTTCCTTCAATCATTGCCAGAGGATGTCATCATGAAAATGTCTGATCTCATGGAGGAGGTACAGATTACCTCCTAAAATTTGAAGCCTTGTATTGTGTAACTGTGCCTCATTCTTCAAACAGAGATGAACATCGCCTAGATTATGTGAGCAGACAGCAACCCAGAGTGTAAACACGATTGCTTATTCTTTATTTTACTCTTCCTCGTGTGTTGCATCACAGGCAGGTGCGGTGACAGCTTTAGAATTAATCCATCACTCTTACTAACCTCATGTTCTCAATTCTCCCTTTTCATCTTCTGTCATTTGCTTTTCGTAGACACACTACACTGAAGGAGCGCACATCGTTCAACAGGGAGCCACAGGAGACACTTTTTATATCATTAGCAAAGGCCAGGTATAGAGATTTATGCTTTTTATTTGCTATACAAAGATTAAAATGCTGTCATAAAACAATTTTTTTTTTGAAAACTTGTTTAACAAGGTCCCAGGAACTCAGAAATAAATCATGTCATTGTGTTTGTAGGTAAAAGTAACAGAGAGGAAGACAGGACAAGAGGAGGAGTCTGTCCTTTCCAAACTCTCAGAGGGACATTGGTTTGGAGAAAAGTTTCTGTGGGGGTGAGATGGACAACATGACGATGATGATGAGGAGGAGGAGGAGGAAATTATTATTTTTATAATCTCTTCAAATGAATAACACCACGTTTTATCTCTGCTGTTAGAGATGATGTTTGGACAGAGAATGTAGTTGCTGCGGCTGCTGCAGTTACATGTTTGGTAATAAACAGAGAGTAAGTGAATATTTATAATTTTTCAATTAATAAGAAAGAACACACTTTTGATTGCTTAACAAGTAAAAAGTTTACAATGTAGCAAAATAACTGTAAGTTAAAAGTAAAAAAAATCACCCAAAGTGCACAGTTATTAAAGGTGGCAGTTACAGTGTGTGTCATTCTGTACATGTAGAAATGTGTTAAAATTCTAAACTAATTAATCATTAGAAATTAGTTAATGTGATTAACACATTTTGACAGCCCTCATTTGTATGATGGTTGTTAGAAAAGTTAAATTACATTCCATTATGACGCACAATCTACAATCTACAATTTAATGAATACACTGTCACATTGACATTAGGTAATAAATATTTATTTTAATTTTTGTTTTACAAAGCTCCTGCATACTTAACGGCTTAAGGTTAAAAAGCATGGTGGAAGCAGTGGTAAGCACACTTGCCTTACAGCAAGAATACTACTGTCACCCACCCAATTACCCAGCACTAAAGGCTTTGAATTGATCAAATGGTAGAAAAAATGATTAATGGTATGAAAAAAAAGATTAAAATCACTTTTGGTTCTGACGATTAATTTAAAACAATTTATTCACTAGTGTAAAGCCTTACTACAGTTCCTTTACTTTTTTTCATAAGTAAACATGGTTGAAATGGAAATGGTCTTAAATAGGGTTTACAAACAAAATGACATTCTACGAGGTTGGGAATCCCTTCTGTGTTTCAGGACTTACAAAGATATAATCAATGGGATGGAGTTTAATTGCTGTGAAGAGAAGCTGCGAGGCCACGACTTCAGAGAGGAGTAAGAAGCATCATAACATTCATTTCCATAAGAAGTATATGTTATTTGCACAATATTGGATTATCCCTGTTTCCATGTGCACAGGTCAGACAAAGATGTTAGTGTCCTTTCAGCTTCATCCTTGAGTGATTTCAATGTCATCTCTCCTCTGGCAGAAACACAGTTTGGTCACGTAGACCTGGTAAGTGCTGATTTTCTTTCATGCTAGGCTGTGATCTTGGAGTAGCAGCCCACTCCAGAACCCATGTTTCTATAATGTCATCTATTGATTTTCACCTCTCACAGGTAAAACTGAAGAGCGACACAGAGCGAATTTTTGCCCTCAGGGTTCTTAAGAAGAAGATTATAATCAACAGCAGCCAACAGGAGCACGTCCTGAGGGAAGGCCGCATCCTGATGGAAGCTCATTGCCCATTCATAGTCAGGTACCTGCTGTTTGCCCAGCTGAGATGGTATGAAAACGTTTTACTTTCATTGGCAGTTCACCATTTATCAATAAAAAACCAAACATTTGTATATTATTTTATATTTTAGTTTGAACATTTATTTTTCTAAACTTATTTGATTATAATGAACCAATTTACCAGGTCATATTATTGAATGTGAAATGTACTTGGCAGTAACTCCGATTCTGATTCTTACAGGTTATACAAAGCCTTTAAAGACCCTGAGTGTCTTTACATTGTCACTGAGGCCTGTCTTGGTGGGAATTTGCACAATCTGCTAAAAGAAAAGTAAGTTCTTAAACCTCGGTTCAATATTCCAACAATTCTTTGTAATTCTATTGATTTAAACCATATTTATACTGAGTGGTCTTTTAATTAGGTACCTCTCAATGTTATTAAATTGGGCCACCCCATTATGCAACAAGAATACTATATCAACTTAAAATCACTTTCCATTTCCATTCTCCATTCTTTAGTTCAACATGAACTCAAATCAGAATCTTCATCTGCATTACTAGTGTGAAATGATGTTTAAATTAACAGCTTGTTTTTTAGAGGACATCTGGACGAATGCAGCACCAGATTCTACACTGCCTGTGTCGTAGAGGCCTTGACTTTTCTCCACTCCCACGGTGTCATCTATAGAGATGTCAAGCCTGAGAATGTCCTTCTGGATGAGCGTGGTTATGCCAAACTGGTGCTAGGCTACACACCTCCTTTCACTGTTTACACATTCTCTTTCCTTTGACAGACATTGAGTAATGGTAAATATTTTTGTCCTGTGTAGATCGGTTCCAGATGTATGAAGAAGGTAGAGATGGGTCGGAGAACCTGGACGTTCTGTGGTACACCAGGTTACATGTCACCTGAGATCATTCTAGGCAGAGGTCATGGTCCATCTTCAGACCTCTGGTCCCTGGGTGTCTTTGTGTTTGAACTGCTAAGTGGTGGGTAAGTCTACAGAAACTACTAAAGTCTCACTTCCTCCAATACAGATAAAGCAAAAGTGACATGATGTTGTGTTTTCTTGTTCTTCAGGCGTCCATTCAGCGGCTCTGACCCATTGAAGATTTTCACTGCGACCATCTGTGGAATTGATCAGATTGACTTTCCAAAACGAATCAGCCAGAGTGCTTCCAGTTTCATTAGGAAACTCTGCAGGTATAGTGGTAGAGAGTGTTGGATTATTATGTGACAGGCTACAGTGGTTTTGATTCAAACTCTCATTCATCCATCAATATTTTAAGCTATATATTACACTTCCTACCGACAGAGGGAAGGAATTGAAGGCTTGGTAGAGATTTATTGGACCTGACCTCTGCTGTGACACAACTCTTTGAATGACAGGAACTCATTATTACTTTATTTCTTTATTTATTTACGTGTGGTCCCTGGTTCTCTCCCACCAAGGAGCAATCCCTTATACAGACTGGGCACGCAGAGAAAAAAGGGCAAGAACATTCAGGGGCACAAGTAAGAAGATGGATTTACAGCACAGAGAGAAACCCTGTGGTGTATGGGGTATAAACTTGGTTTGATATGCTCTGATGCTCTGTTTCTTCACAGGTGGTTTGAAGGATTCGACTGGGATGGATTTCGAAGAAAAACATTGATCCCACTATTTATTCCCAAAGTAAGACACATTGAATGTGTCTTATAATATTCAGTTAGCAATGCTTTAGTAATAATGATACTTTACTTGGCATTTTTATGATTTATTTTAACATCTAAGAATGTATGTTTTCCATGATGAAGCTAATGTGTACCAAGTTCTTTGGTTTGTATATTTGCACATGGGAACTAATTGAAAATCGGTTGTCTGACCTTTTGTTGTTGCCACTCTGTATTTTAGGTGAACCCTTCTTCAGACACAGGCTCATGTGCTGATTACAGCGTGCAGTCAGTGGAGCTGTGCACAGACTGGGATGATTTCTGACACTATCAACTGTGAACTTCATCGCCTTCTACATTTAGTCCTCATGAATAATGCACTGCACACAGTCTCATTGCCATCAAGACGTAATTATATTTTCAGACAAGAGATATTTTCCAGAGCACGAGTTGCTGCAATGAGGCCACGGTTTGATCAATGACACGCCTGTGTTCGGCTAGGTTTTAAATGTTGAGTGTGTTTTCATGTGTAATCATGAGCTGTTGACTGATCTCACGGCTGCTACCAATAAACAAACAAGATACACAAAAGAAAGTTGTTTAGTTTTTATGCTACACTCTCACCATATGTTTGGCTAACTTCCAAATATATATGTACATACATACATATATATATATATATATATATATATATATATATATATATATATATATATATATATATATATATATATATATATATATATATATATATATATATA